CCTCTGATAGTTTTGTCATCCAAATTCCATTGTTCTCCAATCTTTTTTAAAAACAAAACAAGGGGGAACACCCCCCCCCCCACAAAAATCCAATCACAATAAAAAAAAAGTTATACAATTCCTAGAAAAAATGCTTACATTTAGCTGATTTCAGGAATTCCAACCATCTAAAACCACTTCAAAACATGTTCTTTGGCATGAAATAAACACAAAGTAATGATAAGAGTCAGTATCTAAATACGATCGGTATCCAAATCAACATTAGCAATGCCTGTGATGTTTCCAATTAAACCAGAGTCAATTAGAAAAGCAATCCAATACAATTTTGGAGGACCTGAACCAAATTGAACACATATCAAGAAGGTCTAGCTTTCCAAACACCATTGATAGTGTCTTGATATCATTTAAACATTAAAATATATCTTTAGGATTCATGATCCACATTCATGCTAGCAACCTAATTAATTTATGTTCAAGAGAATATATAGCTCTATATGAAGATTTTTTTCAGCCTAGATCTCCATCAGAAATTTTTCTGGAGGCCTACTGATTAAGTCGTAATTGTTGGGTTCCTAACACTGAATTTAACATGACTTAAATTCAACTGAGGTGGGGCGATAATTGTAAATATTACCTTAGCGATTGATTCTAAATAGGATAGTGAAACATAATCCAATACTTAAGTGATGTAATCATAAATTTTAGCCAAAGATCTGCTTAAAGAGCACCAATCCAACAGAAAAGCATACTATTAGCCTCCTGAAAATTCTACTGAATTGGTAGTACAGGGGTTTAAGGCACCCTGTTATTAAGCTTATTAAGACCAGCTGCCTGCAATTACTGCAGGGTTCGAATCTCGCCAAGGCTCAAGGTTGACTCAGCCTTCCATCCTTTCTAAGGTAGGTGAAATGAGGACCCAGTTTGTGGGAGCAATAAGCTGACTTTGTATAAATATACAAAAGGATGAAGGCTATTGCTGAGCACATTGTAAGCCGCCCTGAGTCTTCGGAGAAGGGCGGCATATAAATCAAATTAAAAAAAAAAAAAGGATTTTCCCAGTGAAAGTATAGATGAGACCCCAAAGATGTTTTTACAAGAAGCAATCAGACTTTCTTGTTTTTCTTTGAAGATGCTTTGCTTCTCATCTTGAATGCTCCCCACCACCCAGTCAGAGTTGAAGACGCATCTTGGAGCTTCTTCAAAGAAATATGTGTAAACAAGGAGCTTTGCATGATGCTGGTGCAAATGTACAAATGCTCCCAAACCTTCTTATAAATGGCAGATCATAGAACGCAAAAGAGCAGCCTCTTGTATTTGCTAGGAAGTTACGGTAAGTGATGTGCACTGCTGCTTTTCACTTGTTTCTTTAACAACTGAGGATTATCGGCGTCCAGCCTGGATACCACACAGGAGGAAAACAGTAACAGGGAGCATAAAATGACATCTGATGCCAAAAAGAAACAAAACAGGGAAGAATAGCTATCACAGATTATTAAATAATTGCCACAGCTATTGCCAGATCTAAAGCGCCAGAAATTTCAAATGTCTGGCATTGGCTGGTTATGCTGCAATATGAGGCAGAGCAGCCTAAACAGGAACCTTAATCATGTTTAAGCCCAGCTGTACTCATACGTGAACAGTGAACAAACCCTTACAAGGGTTTGTAAAATATGCTGAGACCTTGTGCCTGTCTAGTTTGTGAAGGCAGGCATGGATATACCATACAGGGCTGGGGGATACATTGCTTCTGCTTCTTCTCTCCCTAACTAGTATTGGTAAGAGTTTTCCTTGATACTCCAACCAGTTCTGGCATTTATTTATTTATTTATTTATTTATTTATTTATTTATTTATTTATTTATTTATTTTTATTGAATAGAATAGAATAGAATAGAATAGAATAGAATAGAATAGAATAGAATAGAATAGAATAGAATAGAATTCTTTATTGGCCAAGTGTGATTGGACACACAAGGGATTTGTCTTGGTGCATACGCTCTTGGTGTACATAAAAGAAAAGATACATTCGTCAAGAATCATAAGTTACAACACTTAATGGTAGTCATAGCGAAACAGTTAATATAAATCTTAAGGATACCAGCAACAAGGTTACAGTCATACAGTCATAAGTGGGAGGAGATGGGTGATAGGAACTATGAGAAGATTAATAGTAATGCAGACTTAGTAACTAGTTTGACAGTGTTGAGGGAATTATTTGTTCAGCAGAGTGATGGCGTTCGGGAAAAAAATGTTCTTGTGTCTAGTTGTTCTGGGTTGCAGTGCTCTATAGCGTCGTTTTGAGGGTAGGAGTTGAAACAGTTTATGTCCAGGATGCCAGGGGTCTGTAAATATTTTCACAGCCCTCCTTTAGACTCGTGAAGTATACAGGTCCTCAATGGAAGGCAGGTTGGTAGTGATGATCAGTTCCAGGTTTATTACACTGTTTCACGTACCGTGCACACATGCTAGACATTGGAATTGAGACAGGAATCTTTCAGGACACACAGGCATAGTTATGTGAATGAATGAATGAATGAATGAATGAATGAATGAATGAATAGAAACCTCTGATACTCTGAACAGGGAGCTGATAGAAAATCTTGTTGGAAATTTCAATCACTATTCAATGTGCAGATTTGTTGTAGTAGAGAGATAGTGAAATATTACACAACAATTATTCCTGGCACAATCTTTTCACTTTTGTCATATTTTTACAGCTCTGTTTCTTGATCTGTATTACCTATTTTATATGTCAAATCAACAAGCCTCTGTCTTTCCTTTCTTCAATCCCCTACTTTGGAAAGCAATTTTAACAAGTGTAAAGTCCTGAGCTTGGACACATATTCTCCTGGTTAGGTCAAAAGTTCAGTTATTCATCCCTGCTGTGATGCTATTGTACGTTTAGAGTGATTCAAGATTCTAGAAGCTTACTGTGACACCTCTTAAAAATGATTTACTAGAGTTGGTCTTTTGTGCCATGCAGATAAAAATTAGCTTGGGTTTCTGCCAGACCTTGGTTAGATTCATTGCCTTGCAGGGCAAAAGCAATGGACATTGGCCTTATATTTTCAATGAAACCATCTATTTTGTGAAATATTTAAACAAGAACATGAACACGTCCTCTCTAGGCCCACGCATTAGCCCATTGAGTTATCCATCTTTCATCATCAACTCAGAATTTAAGTTTGCTAAACATGAATGGGAAAGGATCCTAGATTAGATTGTAAATTGGAAAAAGACCTGCATTTTTGGTGAGACTTTAGCTCATAGGTAGATCATATATATGTGCAGAAGCTCCCAAATTGAATCCTCAGTATTTCCAGGTAAGGTTGGTAACCTAGAGATCCATTTATTATCAATATTGACTGGACTGGCTTAGATGGATGAATGATCTGTTGCAGGAAAAGTTTCTGATATCCATATTTTTATTTATTTTTCATTAGATTTATGTGCCGCCCAACTTGCCTGCAAGCAGAAATATGAGATATTTATTTTGGCAAAAGTGATCAGATTGTAGGCTGTGGGTGAGCTCTCTGCTGGACAGACAATATCAGACAATAAAAGATTGGACTAGAACGTCCAATGTGACATCTTTAGTTTGTCTTGGTGAAGTCGAATGTACAACTTGCTAACTTGTATGCAATCAAGCAATGGTAGTTTAATCAACAAGCCATGGTCAAGCAAGGCTCAGCTTAGGGCAATGTGAGATATTAGTCAGAGTCTGCTAAATTCAAAGGTGGATGTTTAATTGGTGGATGATTAATTTTAAGGGCTTATCAGGAGGATTTTATATTGTTCTTTTTAAATGGCCAAGATACTGTGGTGGTAGACCAAGCTCTTGAAAGACTGACCTTACTGTTGAGTCCTTATCCAACAGCAGAGTGAATATACATGTGGGAGTGATATGCTGCCTTTGTATTCGTTCCTATGAACAGTTTTATAAAGTGATAATTGGATAGTCACCTTCTGCATTCTGATTGCTGGAGGAGCTTCACTTCACTCTAATAAAACAGATTAAAGTAACATAAGAAAGATACAGCTTTCTATTTAACAGCACAGACTGTATTGATTTATGTATTTAAGGGTGTGATTACTTTTTCTCAGAGTTTGAAATCCCTCCCTTTAAAGTAAAAAAAAAATCTATAGCCAGAGTGGAATTGCCTAGTGAAAGAGTGATCAACCGAGTCTCTGATTATCTAGCTCTCTTCTCCACCATTCGGATTCTCAACTAGATGGCTTCTTCATTCAAGGCAGGGGAGGAAGATTTGCAAAGAAAACGGCAGGAATGACACCCCACGATAAATCATGTCTAACAGCATCCTGAAAAATGGGCCAAAGACAGCTTGTGCTGTGACAAATACGGCTGACAAAGAAGTATATACATCTGCTTGGGAGGATTTATGAGAAGAGAATACAAATAAGGCAACGCAACATTTGGGTCTGATAAGTTGTTTTAAGATCATTATATTCTTGTGGCTAATAAGGCTATACTTAAAATGCACGTGCGAATTCAAGTTATATCCTACTCAACACACGTTATAGAAAACATCGAGAACTTGGTAACTCTTAGGGTTTATTGGTAATTGTTAAGTTTTTAGAAAACAGGGAAAATGAGGATGTCAACACTTTTCTCTGAATTTCAAGGACAGCTGAGTGCTTCTTCTCAATGCTTTTTGTATTCAATAAAGGCTGATTTCAGTGTGAACTCTGTAAATCTCTTTTCTCTCCCAAGCTTATAATAATCCTTCTGTATCCTGAATCAACCAAACACCTCTTGTAAGTGCTCAGATTTCATTTACTAGCATAGGATATTTATCGTGGGACAACAGGAAATATAAGAACGAGCCATACAATTCTTACAACGAACATTTCTCTCATTTACTATTAAACATTTTGTAAAAAAAGAGGGGGAAATGTCTTCATCAAAAATATATTGATTCAGAAAAAGGGTGGTTTTCCTTTTTCCTTTTTAACTATTTCTCAACTCTAGGTCAGATCTCTTCACTTTTGCAGCACATAAACTAAAATTGAAACGATAGAAGATAGAGAAGATTAGCATGGCCCCTTTGCACAGATGATGTACAAATTCATGAACCTTTCGATATTTTTGCACAACTATTTATCTGAAATGGTATACGGGGTTGGACTAGAAGACCTCCAAGGTCCCTTCCAACTCTGTCAGGTAGTCCTTGACTTACAATCATTTATTTAGTGACCATTCAAATTTATAACAGCACTGGGGAAAAAAGGACTTACAGTCAGTACTCACACTTTCAACCATCCCAGCATCCCCAAAGTCACATGATCAAAATTTGAAGTCATATCCTGGAGTCACATGATCGCCATTCATGACCTTCCCAGCCAGCCTTGGACAAGTAAAGTCAATAAGGGAAGGGAATTTCCTTAACTGTGTGATTGACTAAACTCCAATGATTCACCTAACAACTCTGGCAAAAAGATCGTAAAATTGCACATGACTCACTTAACAACCACTTTCTTAACAATGGAAATTGTGGTCCCGACAACAATCAACCTGTAATTGATTGATTAACGTAAAGGTAAAGGTTCTCCCGCACATACGTGCTAGTCATTTCTGGCTCTAGGGGCAGTACTCATCTCCATTTCTAAGCCAAAGAGCCAGCGCTGTCCGAAGACGTCTCTGTGGTCATGTGGTCAGCATGACTCAATACACAAGGAACGCTGTTACCTTCCCACCAAAGTGGTCCCAATTTTTCTACTTGCATTTTTTACATGCTTTCAAACTGCTAGGTTGGTAGAAGTTGGGACAAGTAACGGGAGCTCACCCTGTTACATGGCGCTAGGGACTCGAACTGCTGAACTGCCGACCTTCTGATTGAAAAACTCAACATCTTAGCCACTGAGCCACCGCATCCCCTAATTGATTGATTACATGCCATCAAATTTATGGAGACTCTCAGTGGCCACATAGATTTTCTTAATCTTAATCACTTAATGCTCTACATTTAAATTGGTAGAACATTATTAGTTCATTCTCTCTAAGAAGGAAGCAATAATGCTCTAACAATTTAAATGAATTTCTAGTTTCTATTTCTTTACATGGAAAAGAAGGCAAACCTATCTCTTGTCAATTATCTTTCTGAACCGCATTGATTGACATTTTAGGTTTCAAGATATTAGGATTTAGTCTTTTCCTGTTTCGCCTTTACAGGTGAACAACCTGTGACCAGAGTAGTAAATGAAAGGGACAATAATGTCTGATGTAAACTAGACTTTCCTCAATTTCTTAGGCTTTCCAGAATGTATTTTATATATAGGGGGAAAAAATTATGCACGTAGCACATCTTGCCTTTCTTCTGTCCAGATTACAAATGGCTGGTGTCGATTTGCATTTTGATTGTGCATGGTGGTTCCATATATCTGATGAACTGATATTAAAACAATTCTTTTTTTAAAAAAAAAAACATACTGATTAAAGACACATTGAGGCTGCTATTTTTAACATGCCTTTTCTGCTGTAAATCAGGGTTTTAAATTCTCCTTTCGTAAAGCTATCATAATACTATCTGTAGTGGGGAGAGGGAAAAAAAAGCTAATCCTCCAATTATTTTTCCGTTTGGTTTTTTTTCATCTTTTTTTTTTACTCTTTCAAATGACTTTACCAAAAAAAAAAAAAGAAGAAGAAGGAGGGGTCACTAATCAAACTTTCTTCAATTAACTTTATCTCACGGAATAATCAAGGTGCCCTTTCCTTTGGCAATCATGGGATCCCATCTCATTGAAGTTTATAACTTACTTTGTATCTATTGCCCACATTGTACATTGCTGGCGTTTATGGCTCCTGAGATATTAATTCAAGGAGTAAAGCTTTAGTCTTTTCCCCAAAGCTTTGCCAACCATTATTTGTTATAATAACTGTTATCTGTTATTTTAAATGGAAGATCTATGATAGATTAAATGGGAAATCCATAGGACACAGCCCTGCGTTTTTCTGCTTCCTGGATTATAAACCAAGTCTGGGCACTATTAATATCTATTGTTCTGTGTTTTGGCTCTTTTGTCATTGTAGCTGATGTTACATCTCCCTGGCTTTCTTGGTGCTTGAGCTGTGGTGGCATAGTGGTTAGAATGCGGTACTGCAGGCTAATTCACTGCTCATTCCAGCAGTTCAATCTTGACCAGCTCAAGGTTAACACAGCCTTCCAGCATTCTGAGCAGAGATGGTATTCAGCCGGTTTGGACTGGTTCGGGCAAACCCATAGTGATGACCTGTGGGTGGGCCCGCCCACCCACCCACCTGCCCGCCCATCTGGGCGCAATCTCATCCTGGTGCAATCCCTGTGTTTTTTATGACGCATGTATGTGTGTTGTTTGATGATGGACGTATGTGTAGACAGCGCGCGAGAGCAAATTGCCGTGTTTTGTGATGCCACACGAATGCACGGATGGTGCGTGTGCTCACATTTCCGGTGCTGGGCGAACTGGTTGCTACAGTATGTGAAGCCCACCTCTGATTCCGAGGTCAGTAAAATGAGGACCCAGATTGTTGGGTGCCATATCTGACTCTGTAAACCACTTAGAGAGAACTGTAAAGCACTAGGAAGTGGTATATAAGTCTAAGTGCTATTGCTATTGCTTGAAGGGGGGGAAAGTCTGCAGAGCAGGATGAAAAAGGATTCACTCCTATCCTATATGTTTATAGGCATTCCTCGATTTACGACCACCAAAATTTCTGTTCCTAAATGAGATGGCTGTTAAGTGAGTTTTGCTCCATTTTGCAACCTTTCTTGCCACAGGTCAGGGGTGGGTTCTACTTACTTTTACTACCGGTTCGCAATGGGATCGTGCGCGGGCGCTCGTTTCGCTCATGCGTGCCAAGCTTCTGCGCATGCACAGAAGCTTCTGCACATGCGCAGATCGCCTATGATGACATCCGAGGTGGTGGGCGGAGCCTCCCACCAGTTTTACTACCAGTTCTTGCGAACCGGTCCGAACCGGGGGAAACCCACCACTGCCACAGGTGTTAAGTGAATCACTGCAGATTAAGTTAGTAAGATGGTTAGTAAGTGAATCTGGCTTCCCCACTGACTTTGCTTGTCAGAAGTTTGCAAAAGGTGATCACATGACCCCGGAACTCTGTAATTGTCATAAATACGAACCTATTGCCAAGCATCTGAATTTTGATCATGTGACCCTGGGAACTGTGGCAAAAAAAGGCTGTAAAATCAAGCTCACTTAACAATTGTCTTACTTAGCAATGGAAATTTTGGTCTCAATCATGGTTGGTCGAGAACTACCTGTATCACATGTATTTACTCAATCATAAGTCTCTTCCACTAGTATCAAACTCATTTCTATGTTCTAGACCATGTCCAAAGACTAAAGAAAAATACCAATGATTTTAAATAGAACATAACTTGAAAGATGCCATCCTAGAAAAAGACTTGTCATTTTTGTTTTTGTCTTTGTTGATATCAGAAATAACTTTTTTTATATATGGTTCTGCAGAGTTATCGATCTCCTTGCAAAGTTCATAACTTCTATAAGACTTAAATGCTGGGTTTGCCAGTCAGATAGACTTAATCTTCATATTTTCTAGAATTGCAAAAGATAAAAAAAAAAGAAATTGTAGAAAACGGTAATGAATAGACACATTGGGAGCTTCCACTTACTGCTGTTATTTTGCATACTGGAATGTTTACAAAAGAATATTAAAAAAAAATATTTATTTTACAAATCTTCATAATCCCGCTTGCATTTTTGAAAACTGCAGCATGTATAATGCAGTTAGGACTGAACACTGGTGCCAAGCACTGGAAAGCAATAGGTAAGCTTCATGAATAAATAAAAACTAGGCTTTATTTAAACCGATTAAACATACTGCTTACCAAAGCTCAGCTTTAAAAAACTATAACATCAAGTGGTATGTGTGCTAGTTATTTTCTATTCGTCATATTTCCATTTCAGCAACGGAAGTGGTTCTGCAGTTCTTATTTATTTATTTATTTAAATTTAATTAATTAATTAAATGAATTAATTAATTTGTTGAACATGTACAAGATAGCAGGTATAGGTATAAACATAAACATAAACAAAGGAAGTAAGTACAAATAAATGGGGACAGTAGGACAGGGACGGTAGGCACAATGGTGCGCTTATACACGCCCCCTTTACGGACTTCTTAGGAAAGTATTACACAGCTAGTTTAAAAAAAACAAAACAACCCTAGCAGATAAAGCAAATAGCAACAAGACCTGGCAATGGCTAAGAGCAGAAAAGTTGAAGAGTTAGAGGGGCTAATTTTCGCTGCACAAGACTAAATCTTAGAGACAAATGCATTCAAAACCAGAATTGAGAAGACAGCGACAAACAACAAATGCCGCCTTTGTAAAGAAGTTGTAGAAACGCCTAGTTAGCAGCTACAAGAAGATTGCACAGTCAGATTGCAAACAACAGCATGACAAATTAGCAACAATGGTGCACTGGAAGATCTGCAAAAAATACCATTTGCCTGCGAGCAAGAACTGGTGGGACTACAAGATAGATAAAAAATGCAAAATGAGGAAACTAAAGTGTTCTATGATTTTAGAATTCAGATAGACAAGCATCTGCTATATAACACTCCAGACTTAACAATTGTCGACAACAAAGGCAGAAACATCTGGATAAAGGATGTGATAATACTTGAAGACAGTAGAAGAGAAGAGAAAGAGCTGGAGAAAAATCACAACAAACAGAAGTAGAATGACTATGGCAAAAGAAAGGATAAATCATAATAGGACCCTTGGGTGCAATCTTAAAACATCTGGAGCATCTCTTGAACATCACCAGCATTGACAAAATCACCATCGGTCAATTGCAAATGGCAGCTTTGGTTTGAACAGCTTACATTCTCCAACAATACCTTTAACACCATCAAACATCTACTCTCTCTATGCCAGATCCTTGTGAAGGTCTCAAGAGATGGACAAAAATGCCAAATCCAGGCTGAACATCTGGCTGACTCTGGAATTAACAATAATATTTCTTAAAGAGGGAGAAAGAGGAGAAATTAATACTCAAGAATTAAGTACTGTATGTGGGATCAGCAATGTGGAATATGATAGACTTCTTCACAAATATCAATATCA